TGCCCTGAGGTGAGCCCAGCTGGGCGGCGGGTCGGTCCCGTTTTGTATTAACGTTGCAGTTTTCTTCTGCTCTATGTAAGCCTGGGGATAAAACCCCGGGGCTTTACCGGAGACACCTGTTGGTAAATAGAGGAAAGAGCAGTCCTCTTCCACCTGGATGGAAGTTTTCTCTGTGGGAAGAAGTACGCTCCTGGTATGCGCAAGAAGATCAAGGAGGGGTGGCCGAAGTAGACTGGGGCAAGGGAAGTTTTGTTTGTGTCAAGACATCAAAGTCACTTCTATTGTTTTTTATTTACTAACATTCATTTTTTAAAGAGAAATATACAGTTCTGTAGGGTACAACTTGACAGTATAAGAAGAAGTTAATTATAAGAAGTTATAATTATATTATTGCCTCTTATTTCAATTTGTCAAGAGTAGCTTTGTTAGTATTTAGTATTTATTTATTTGCTTGTGAAGAAGACATCTCATGCGTGCATATGGAACTAGTGCAGATATCAAGTAATCTGTTTGAAAAAAACTTCACTGTGTTTGTAATTAAAAAAGTTAGTAATTAAATTGTGAATGTCTTCAGCTAAAACTGTTAATCCCTTTCCTTTCTTTCATTTAAAATTTTAAACTCCTGATTGAAGACAGAAATCTGGAGGAGGTCTGAAAGAACTTAAATACATCAGACTTTGACAAAAAAGACTCTATAAAAGAAGGACAAAAAGTTTAGCACCTCTGCTCAGGGAAAATCTGGCTACTGTTACACCTTGTCAGCCAGTCAGCATGTGTACCCAGTCTTAACGAGGTCAAACTGAGCAAGAGACATGTTTCTGTTAAGGGAGGATGAATGTTTGTTGGACAATAACATGAACTCATAGGGTGTTCCCCCCCCCCCCCCCCCAGGTTTATTATCCAAGAGGATTTAGACCTTGCTTAAAAAGGTGAATTTTATTTTGGCTGTATGCTTTCTTTTGTGGGGCACTGAAATAAACTAAGCTTATTTGTTTTTCCAGTGGCTGCATTATATCGGATATTTTTCTGGAAGAGAGAAAAAACACAGATCAAAACCTTTTTTTCCTTCCCTTCCCTGTACTGAGTTGATAACTTTACCTGTTTGTATGTAGTTTTAGTGGTATAAAGTAGTGTAAGGGAAGTCACCTCCCACCCAATATTCTTTACTGATAAGCTTTTCACAGCTTTTTATTTTTGTTCATCCTTTGCTGCATTTGGTATAGATCCTGGGATTTTTGATCTACAGGAATGCTAAATGCTTAAATATCTTTGTCAGATGCATCCTCTTTGTGACATCATTATATTACTTTTTAAGTTAGATGCAGATGTGTAATGGTTCAGGTTATATGATGTCTTATTTTGAAGTATATTTTGCAAGATTGACTGAAGGACTCATACTGGGAAAATGCACAGGTGTTTAGCCTCTGATGTTCTTGAATAATTCATTTGCAACATCTGAAAGTATTTTGTATGCCAGTAGCCTGAGTTTTCTGTTCCTGAAATCCAGCTTTAAAGAAATTAAAGCCTTGTTTGTTTGTTCTTTACTGTCAGTTAGGAAAGTATTGTATTTTCCCTGTAAACTCTGTGAAATGCCCTTCTGTGTTTTCCTTGGTAAACTGTTGAGACATGTACAAAACCAAGTTTCCAATGGCAAATCAGACTTCATTCTGATTAAAAATTACACGCAGCACAGCGTGAGGTGTGTAATTAATGCAGTACTTTTTCTTTTTTTTTTTTATAGGCTCCTTTTTTTTAATAGGCTCCTATTTTTCCTATTTTTAAAAAAATACCTTTTTTTTTTTTTTTTTTTTCTTTCCTGAAGACTGATCTGGATCTTGAGATCTGCTGGAAGATATATATGCGTATATATTTACTTTCTCGTGGAAAATATATTTAGATTTTAATGATCCTCTAGTATGTTACATGAGCCAGATGATAATCTAGCTATTTTATATTAGCTAGGTATGGTTGTTTAACATCTTGTACCTGAGGTCAAGAATTATTATTTTGCTGTCCTGATGAATGAGTAATTAAAATGAAAGGCCCGTGGGATCAGGAGTTCTAGGAATAGTTCGATTTGTTTTCAAAAGGACTATGAAGACATATTGAAATACTGTGCACCTGTTTTCAGCACACAAATAGAAGAGCCAGAACAGCCTCTGAAGCAGGCACTTGAACGCTGTATCTTTCATTCTTCTCCTGTGATGCGAGTGGAAGCATATCTATCACATAACATGAACTCATTATTTCGCTATGATGCCTGACATGATTAAAAATACTTGTGTCTTGCATATGTCATATCAGAGGTGCTGCAGGGGTTTTGAATTAGAAGACGACAAGGTAGAGATTATTTAAAAAAAAAGAAATCTGTATGGTTTGTGGCTTTCTCCCTGCCTGTGTTTGAGATCTCAGGGGAAGAGGGCATCAGGAAATATCTCTGGATAGTTGATTGTTTTTATGTGCTCAGTATCCTTCATATGTATGATGTGTTGCAGGTATATGTGGAAATATGTCTGACTTTTCTTCATGAGAGCATATGCAGTAGATACTAGGCCTTGGTTTTGTATTCAAATGCTTGCTAATACCAGTCTAATGCTTCTTGAAGATGCCTGCTGCCTGTGATTCAGTGCTTGAAGATATTGAAGATATTGTGTCAGCAGAAGATTTGAAACCGCATGATCGGCAGTTTGTAAGAAAGAATGTTTTTCCAAAAGTGCGAAAACGCAATTACCCAAAAAATACTCGGACAGATGATGATCCCCCGAGTGACAGGTAAGTTCTTCCATCAACTCTATCTTGTTGCTTCTCTCATATCTCGTGTGCACTGTCAGCTTCTAAAAATATGGTGGGAGTTCTAATTATTTCATAATGTAAAATCGGAATATAAGATAAAAATGAGTAAAATAGTGTTTGTAAAATGTAGTGATAATGAATAATAAATCCTAAGCAAATTTCTTGTCTTAGACAAACTTTCTGTAGAAATCAGTTATGACTGAGGTATTGATTAATGGAGACTGGAAAAATGGTTCCTGTTACTTAAGCTTTTATGTGTAAAACGTTTCTGAAAAATTGTCTGCTTCACCTTAATTACCTACATAGAAGCTGAGCTCTTTAAAATGCAGTCCTGGAGTAGCCTTTTGACATCTGGAATGAGAAATATAAACAAAATTCTGAGAATCATAAAAGGGTTGAGGTTGGAAGGGACCCCTGGAGGTCATCTTGTCCAAACGCCTTGCTGAAGCAGGGCCACCTAGAAGCAGTTGGCCAGGACCATGCCTAGATAGTTTTAGAAGAGGGATTCCACAACCTCCTTGGGTAACCTGTGCCAGTGCTTAGTCACTCTCACAGTGAAAAAGTGTCCTCTTTGCCCGCTCCCTTCAGGTATTTATATACATTGATAAGATCCCTCCATGAGCCTTCTCTTCTCCAGGTTGAACAGTCCTAGCTCTCTCAGCTTTTCCTCTTATGAGAGATGCTCCAGTCCTTTAGTCATCTTCATGGCCCTTTGTTGGGCTGTCTCCAGTACGCCCATATCTCTTGTGGGTGCATCCCATCAGGGCCCAGGGACTTAATGTATGTCCAGTTTGCTGAAGTATTCCCTGACCTGACCTTCTTCCACCAAGGGTACATCTTCCTTGCTTCAGCCTTTTCACCTGGTTTCTGGAACCTGGGCTTTCCAAAGGCTGTCCTTGTATGTACATCCTGCAAGTGATATATTGAAACTTCTTTTGAACTTGGTGTTTTATTTCAGTGGAAATAGTATGCAATAACTATGAAACATATCTTTGCATTTTTCCTTCTTGTGATTCCCATAAGAACAGAATAAAACTTCTGCTGCAGTGGAGTTGATTAAAGTATAGGTGAACTCAGTTATTGATTCTAGTTTCTACTGCAGTTCAGAGATACGGATTTTGGTGGTTCCCTGCCGCCCCATTAATTTCAAGCTGGTGGATGAAGTTTCCCCGCATTATAAAGATGAAAATAAAGCATGTCTGGAATGCACAGGAAATACAACTTTGGGTTTTTATTACTGTTCAAATGAGATTTTTATAAGCATAAGAATGCACCAGCTGAACTGGTAGTCTGTAGATACTTCACACTAGCACTCCATTCTGTTAAGTATTCAGGTACTGTATATTATCTAACAGGCTGTATTTTAGTGGTTTTGACCAAAGAAAGCTCATTGAATGTATGTTGTTTAGACAGTAGGAAGTCTAAATAAATTGTACATGTGCAATATGCGTTGCACATGTCTACTTAATGATCGTTAATCTTCCATTAACAAATTTCTATTTCTAGCTAGGGGAAGTATCTTTAAAAAAAGAAGCGGTGGGGGAGAAAAAAAGAAGATGCGGGCAGGGCAAAGGATTGTGTTCCAGGATGTGTGTCGTTCTTGTACTAGCATCTTTAGCTCATTGGCACGGTTATCCCAGTAGTTTCCATGAAAGCTTCTTGCAGAGTGTTTTGTTGGTTCTTAAACCATTGTGTGTGCTAGCTCCATGGTGCACATCTGCCATGCTGTGTCTGTAGCCAAGAAAGGTTGGGGTATGAGCTTTCAGATGCTAGTGTGGCTGGTGGCAGGCTTAAATTAAGAATTTATAAAGATGGCTTGTATAGAGGGAACTACAGTCAATGGGTGCCATAATACCAAAAGGTTGCAGTTTAGCTCTTAACGGTTTGTTTACTGGTGGCCTAATTTCAGTGCAGTCACTTGAAGGTCACTTGTTAAATGAGATGGTAATTTTCAGAAAGATAGTTGGTTGGTTTGGTTTTTTTTTTTGACATTATTGCAGTGTACTGAATTTCTACTTATTCTACAGCTCTTGTACCTTTGTCCATTCTAAAACTCTTTTCTTGCCACTTGTGGTGGATTGACCCTGGCCAACAACTGAGCAGCCACCTGGCCACTTGCTCACCCCTCCTCCCAGTAGGTTGGGGGAGAGAATTGGAAGAGCAAGTGAGAAAACTTGTGGGTTAAGATACAGTTTAAGTGAAGGAAAGAGTAGGGGAAAACCCCAAGTGATGCAAAAGCAGTAACACGCCACTTCCCTCAAGCAGACTGATGCCCAACCAGTCTCAGAACAATGGCCAGTTTGGAAAGACCAAACCCCCAGTTTTTATTGCTGAGCATGATGTCGTATGAGATGGATTATCCTTTTGGTCAGTTTGGGTCAGCTGTTCTGTCCACGTTCCCTGCCAGCCTGTTGTCCATCTCCAGCCTTTTTGTGGTGGGGTGGGGCACAGTGGGAAACAGAAGGTTTTGATGCTGTGCAAGCACTGTTCAACAATAGCTAAAACACAGGTGTGTTATCAACACTGTTTTAGTCACAAATACAAAACACGGCACTGTACGGGTTGCTGTGGAGAAAGTTAACTCCATCCCAGCCAGACCTAATACCCACTACGCTGAAATCACATAATTATGATGTTTTTCCCCAGCTGTTTTGGAGCTGTTACTGTTTGTGTTGCTTATTTTATATCTGGAGAATTACAATTAATTGAGTCTGTTCAGAGAGCTTAAAGGGGAAGCTTGTTCATCTTTTAACTTGCCTTTTTCATTCATTTTTACTTCACAGCATTATTCCTGGTGCTCAGAAAATCTGGATTCGTACATGGGGATGTTCTCACAATAATTCGGATGGTGAATATATGGCTGGACAGTTGGCTGCATATGGATACAAAATTACAGGTAACAATATCGGATGAGTTGCATGATTCAGTTTTTTTGGGGTGAATGTTCAGAGCTGTCAAGCTGTCATCAAATGTTTTTAGTCTTAATTACACTTTTTAAAATCCCCTTTTGATCTCTTTCTGATTTGAAGGTGAGGAGGTAGAGTGTTTTCCTGGCATTAAGCGGAATGATTACAAGATGAGTGCTTTCAGAATGGTTAGGTTTTCCTGACAGGGCAGCCATCTAATAGATGTCATGCAGTGCCTTTTGTGGGCATTTTGCTTGCTAAACTTAATTGAAGAGTTTTCGTAAGAGTGGAAGGGAAAGATACTAATTCTTGGGCAGAATCTAGCTGGCTGTCTTATTGCAATTGATGGAACCCAAGTGAGAGAGAGAGAGGAAGGAAGTGTGTTGTCACTTAGTGATGTTTGCATTTGCTGGTGGAGCAGAGGTGAACTACTCCATGTGAATGATCCTTTGTTTCAGGAGGGATGATCAGTGTGATGGAGGTGGGATTAACAGGATTGTATCTTCTACATTGAAAGAGCTGAAAATGCTATTTCTCTTTTCCTTCCAAATACTTTAAAACACTGCCCGTCATCTTGTTCTGCCTCTCCAACCCTTAATAAAAACCCCAAACTTGTGGTTGTGCTGGCCACATTTCATCTCCTTGATGCAAAACATGTTGAAAGAAAAGCTGTAAGATTGATGTCATGTTTCAATGGAGAATTATTATCTGAATACTTTTGTGTAGCTTATGACTAGTCAAAATAAAAAATTAAATTTTATTCGTTAATTAAAGTTTTGGTCTGTCTTGCATTTAAACTTGTATCCTGCTTGTACTGAAAGACTGCAAAGTTGTCTTTCCTGACATTTTGCTAGAAGTATTTTACTCCTGATTTCACAAAATGCTCATTTCTTTTCTTGAACATCTCGTGATATCGTTAAACAGTTACATCTAATTTTCCTTTTTTGCAGTTGATCTTTTTGTATTTATCTAAGTAGAAACTAGATACTGAATTATTCAAGTGCTGAACTGTTTTAGGTGATTCTTTAATTAGCAGTGCAACTCTGGAATAGGTATGCTCTTTTCACAGACAAGTAGAGTGCTGGTCTAAAAAGCCTTATTTGTGACAGCTGTTTGTGTAAGACTACAAATGAGTTCTCAGTTAATTTCTCCTTACCTTAATTTCTCTAATGCATAGTGTTCCAAAAGCTACTTCTGGCTTGTCATGATTTGGATCGCTGTCCTGTGCTTCTGGAGTTTTATGGAGAGAAATGTAGGAAAGACGGAGTGCAGCTAAGGAAGGAAATACCTAAAATTTTTGATACCTTCTCTTTTTGGAAAATTAAATGTTCATAACTTTAGAGTAGAAATAAGTCTACATCTAGAATCTGAAACTGAGAACTAAAAATTGAATAAAAGTTGCAGTAGCTGGGACAGGAATACCTACAGAGTAAGTTTGGTAATTGTATATGAAATTGACTGCTAGTTTCTCGTCATTATTAAATTGATGTCTTGATCAAGTTTATTTGTGTGTATTTATATACTTATATTCAATCTAACAAATGAAAAAAGCCCCAATGGTGAGGTGGTAGGCAGAAATTACCCAGTGTGGTTTCTTCTTTGTGAAATTAGGTAACTTCTTTTTAAGCTGATACATTTAAGGACCTCTGGAAAATTTCATTTTTGTTCTGTTGAACAAAAATATTGGCTACAAATTCTGGCTAAGGTAAACTTTTACAAATCCATCTATTGAATGTTCTCCTTTATAGGCTGTTAATGATGCTGGAACTGACTGCAAGTATTGCAAGTATGGTAGCTGTATGTGAGAATATGAGGTGGAGAAGAGGGCAACTGTCTTTCTGCTCACTATAATGATGCTTCTGGCCACAATTGCGTACGAAAGTGCTCTATTACTGTTTGGATTGCTGATAATGTGTCTCAAGGTTTCACACTGGGACCAATCCATTTAATGTCTTTAATGGACTTGGAAGACAGGATGTAGTGTACCTTCAGCAAGTTTGCAGACTGTGCCAAACTGGAGGAAGTGATTGATAGGTGGAAAACCAGTGTTGTGGTTCAAAGGGACCTTAATAGACTAGAAAAACAGCTAATGGATACCATATGACATTTGGCAAAGGCAAATGCAAAATCCTATGGTTGGCATAATCCCAGCTAGTGGTAAAGGTGGGGGTGGGCAGACTGATTAGAAAGCAGCTTTGCAGAAAAAGATTTTGGGATTGAGGTAGACAAGAAGTTGAACATGAGTCAGCAATGTGCTCTTGTAGCAAAAAAGGCAAACTGCGTCCTGGGCTGTGTTAGCAAGAGTGTAGCCAGCTGGTCTGGAAAAGTGATCCTTCAGCAATTTGTGGTGCTTGTGAGACAGCTTTTGGAGTGTTGTGTCCAGTGATCCAGCTTGGGCCCAGTTTTGGGCTCCCCAGGAAAAGAGAGAGGTTTATGTAGTGAAGTGAGTCCAGGGAGGGCCACCAAGATGGTTTGGGGGCACGCGATGTATGAGGAGAGACTGGGAAGACTGGGTTTCTTCAGCCTTAAGAAGAGAAGGCTCATGGAAGATCCTAGTTCCAGACAGCAATACCCAGTAGGAGGGTACAGAGAAAAGGGTGTCAATCGCTTGTCAAAGGTGTGCAGTGAGACAAAAGACAACACAGTCTTGCTCTTGACAAAGTGGCAGTTAAGGTTTTTTTTTTTTTTTAGCATCTGGTGCACAACTTACTGCTCATGCTGTCCATCTTTCTGTAGAGGAAATGCCTATGTAGAATGTTATCCAACATTTCTTGAGTATCTCTCATAAATCCCTTTTTAAGAAAGCGTGGTGGTTTTTTTTTTTTTTTATAGTAAGTCATCTGGGAAGTTCAGATACAGTGTCAAGAAGGGATTTAATTTCTTTGTGCTATACAGTGACGTAGTTACTCAGGAATAGTAAGTATTGCCTAACATAATTCAAATTTCAAACATTTCTTGAAATTAAACTTAATATTGTTTACACTATGCAAAAAATAACAAAAACAATTGTAGGGGCTGGTTTCTAAATTAATGCCTCTCTCTGTTGCTGGAATTTGTTAGTTTAGTGTAAAATTGTTATAAACTTGAGGAAAATACAGAAATATTCACTAAGGTGAAGGATTATCTGTTGTCGGAGCATCTTTGATAGCTATTACTTAAAAATGTTTTGATTAGCCTGTTTCCTACATGTTCCTAAGTTTTTGAGTCAACAACACAAAGAGATGCTGGAATAAAGTTCTGGTTCTAGGAAATAAAATGTGACCTTTACTTGCAGTTCTTGCCCCATTATAAGGGAAATGGTCAAGCACTGTTTCTAGTGTCTTCTGTCTAATTGCAAGATTGAAAAAAAAAATAGAAGAAAGAAAAACAGCATCAGACAGACTTTTGTTGCTAATTAGAAGTTGTAACAATGCAGCCTGCCTTATAAGTTAACTTAGCTGAAACTGAATGTTGATATAATATCTTCTAATTGTAGAAATAATTTTTTATGACTTGTTGCAAAAATCTTATTCTAATTCTATTCCTTATCCCTGTTTATTGCATGGATTCTACCCTGTTCTTGATGTGAACTTTGTTCAGGAGATGCAGAAGTTTGTTTGGGTTTTTTTGCCTTTCATCTGTTTCAAAAATGTTCTTTCTGTACAAGCACCCTTTGTTGCTTTCAGGAGTGGCTAAATCCAAAGGTGAAAACTGGGGGCTGTGATACATTTTTTTTACAGCAAAGACTACCTCTGTCTGGGGGGAGAGTGCAGCATGAATCGGCGACATACAGATGTTGCAATAACAGTAATGCTGATTAAAAATCAGGAACTGCATCAGCTTAAAAAAAGGCAAAGGGAAACCAGCAGAAGAGCTGAATCTATTTTTGTATCTGCTTTTACAATGTGAAGGTAGGCAGTATTCTGAACAAATCTTGCATACCATCCTGTGGGAACACAAAGCTCCTATGTTAGTCTGAGCCACACAGAAATGTGCAGACCAGCTGGTATCAGTGTAGGGCTGTACCATGGTTCATGTTCTGAAAACAGTGTAGCTGATGGTGGCTTTACTGGTTCTAAAACTGGTTTTCGTTTCTTGGCAGCATGACTTGCTGTATAGTTCAGATATGCCTGCAGACCCACTAGAGTGCTCCCTTTGAGATACACTCTGGAGGAAGAAACTCTCATGGTGCAGACAAGTAATGCCTACTGTGAAAAAGAGGACGTGGGCAAGCTGGGGGCTCTCAAATACTATGAGCCAGGTGTTTGTTTAGGAAGGGAATGGAGTACGTGTGCGACTTAACAGTACTTTCTCTCTGAAAAATGGAACCAATCACACATACTCAGACATAGAAAGAATTGGCTTCTGAAGTGGGTAGTCATATTAGCATTTGTTGGCCTCTCTAGGTTTCTGGTTCTGTGGAATGAATGGGTTTTGGCGCAGCCTTTTTGAATGAATTTTGATGGATCAAACAGTTAGGTATGCTTGTTATTTTGTGTAATTGCTATTGGCTTGAGGCTGTTCAGCTCCAAAAGCATCCCCTCCTTGGTCATTGTAAAACATGCCGGGGGCAGGAAAGACATTACTAATGACTTACAGATACGAGAAGAATGAACAGTAACTTTTGCTTTTATGAAGAGGAAGCAAAAACTGTTATTAAACATTCAGCAAAACTAAACCAGTAACAGCTTATCTGCACTATGTTTTTATTTATTTATTTTAGAAGTAAATGCTGTCATGGAACTTTTTTTCATCCTGTAGTACGGAATTCCAGAAGCAACAAGGGGTGGAATTGTTTTGTTGGTAACTCAGTGGAATTGGCTTTGATTTAGCACATAGAAACTAGGTCATAGTATAGACCCTCAGCTTTACTTGTGCAGTTTTAGACTAGTCTTTGTTCAGGCATCCTTTTCACTGTCTTGGGCAATTTGTCTGCAAGATTGTTGGATGGAAAGATGCTGTATTTTTCATGGGTTCCTCTTAAAGGGTTCACTCCATTACTGTGATTATGGTATTTGTTGGTGAGACTTGCTGGTTTCTATTGAAGCTTAATGTTTGTAGTCCATGTTATATGTGTTACAACTCTAAGATTCACTGTGCAGAGAACTTGCGTATTTCTCTAAAGCAAATCTGAAATAATACTTTGAAATACTGTTAAAGAAATTCTCTGGTTTTTATTGCCTCTTCTACTTGTTAATTTTCTAAACACTTGTCAGTTTTGTTTACCAGTGGATATAGCTGACTTATCCTTAAGACTGTCCATCTGCTGAAACAGTAAGTTTGAGTAGAAGAAGGAAAAAGACAAGGAAGAACAAATGCTCTGATCTACCTAAGACCTCATGTTGAAAAGAAGACAGATGTGAAAGGAAACATGCTTAGTCTGCTGCTGAAAAAGCAGATGAGGTGCTACAAACTAATATAGACCTCAGCATTCAAAGTCATTGCCTAGTGTTCATGCATTGCCTAAACCATGCTTCCTTAGACTTTGGGCATCCCCATACAGATACAGTGAAGTGTGCTGCAGCATCCGTTTTATTCATCCAAATGGAAAATAAAGAAAATGACTAAGATTGTATAGGTGTTGACTCTTGATTCCCGAATCACAATTCAGAATCTGGTGCTTTGTTTTAAGTGTTGTTTCAAAAGTACTTTTCTACTGCACAATAAAATTTTAATAATTTTATGTTTTGATTTATTTTGTGGTCCTAAAGTAGGAATCTCTTGAACAGGTTACTGTATTCTATGCATTTGTTAACATAAAATTAACTCTCCGCAGCCTGTGTAGTGGTTGATGAAGTATTTTGACTAAAGCTTCTGCTGGTTTCTAGTGTACGCTTTTAGTTGCTCAGAGTCAGCAGTTGGTCTTTCCATTTTTTCGCTCTCTACCCTGCTGATAATGCTTCTCTGTGGCTTTGTAAGTATCATGTAAAACAAACAGTAGTGATTACCGTGTAATTTTGGGGTGCTATGAGCCATCCTCATTGTGAGATATCTTTAGTATTCTTTTTTAAGCTAAAAGACAAATCTTTATTAGCTGCTCATTGAGTGCTTGATATTTAGCCTTATCAATCAGAGAATTCAATTTCAGTCTTTGCTTTTAGATTTGTATTTTTCAAGTGCTTGTGATTGCAGTGGCAATTTTGAAAAAAAAAAAAAAAAAAAAGATACTTTACAACCTTTTTTGTGGGGGGGGGTAGGTTTAAATGCACAAAATAACCTAAACTACTTTTCTGGTGATGAGAGGCATTTCTATTTTCTCTGACAACACTGCAGTCATGAAACTGTCATTCTCTGTGAAGCAGCTGAGCAATGGAGAAAAGTGAACCGAGGTGTAAATCCTGTGGTGTTTTGTACCCTTGCTGAAGAATTCCCCTGTTGTCTATAATTTGTAGAATCACAATCCTGTATGATTTTTTTCATTGCTCGATAACTTTACACACCTGGGTAACTACTCCTGCAACAGATTCCACACCCCTACACCCTGCCCCCGATTGATAATCCTGATGTAAAACCTTTTGCTTGTTGGTACTGAGAGGCAGTAAAGCAACTTATTTCTATACCTGTTGTTAAAGTGAGATAATTGTCGTAACAGTTCCAGCGATGTGGTCTCCTGCTTTCAGGAGGTCTAAGTTGCTGCTTGTCACAAGTTTGTTTTGTGTTTTGGTTCTTGGTGCTCTGGCCCAAAAGCCCTGCTCTGTCCTGCACAGTTAGTATGTGAATGCTTGGGGTGTGGGCGTGGTGGTTTTTGTTATCTTTAGTCTCCTTCTTTCACTGCTGCTGAAATAATCGTTATAGTTGGACATACCAAGAACCATCTTCCAAGGAGATACAAGAGCTTCTGTCATCTGTTTGGAATCTGAAACTTTTGTGGTGAGATGGTTAAGAGGATGAGGAGAGAGGGTGAAATGGGACATAGAGGAAGAATGGAAGGTGGTATTCATGGGATGGAACAGATGGGATCGCACAAATGTAGATGATCAAGATTTCACAGTTCTTTGGGAGGAATACATGTATTCCCAGTGCAGCCTGGAGTGTCCTGTAAGGCAATGAGTGGGATGATGGGTCTGGATGTTGTTGGGGTGCTTTCTTGCAGTGTAGAATTAATACAACATCATGCCATGACTCTCCTGCAGCAGTGCATGTTCCCCAGGTTTCTGTAAACTAACATATAATTGTGGTTTTGGCAGCTGTGTATTACTATATTACTGCTCCTGTGTTCCCTGTAAAACTTCCTAGCGTGTGTGGCTTGAGTTCTGTTACTTATCACCTGTGACTTCTAGCACAGTGCAAGATACATGACCTCTTTGTGGTGAGTTTTTCCTACCTCAGCTTCCTTAGCATGAACTTCTTATTCCTATTAGGCAACTTGCTGTTAAGTGGAGTATCTAGCTTTGAGGATGTTGTCTCTGTTACAGGATAGAACTCTAATTCTCAAACTGGGAAATGTTTCCCTTGTTTATGGGGGAACTAGAAAGAAGTGGTGTGTGTTTTCCCCTCATAACTGCTTCCTATGTCACTGCCATTAGAGCTTGATCTGACAAGTGTGTACTGTTTTCTTTGTCCAACTTGAAATCACCTATTTTACAGTCAATCTAAATGAAATTGATTCCTTTTTCTTTTAGTCTTTTTCTTTCACAGTCACAGAGCTGACAACTGAAAGTTAGGAGCAGGCCTGAGAGCCTAAATAAACTTTACATGCACGCTATCTTCAGAGACACTGGTAGAGAGATTACGTAAGTAAATTTAAGCATGCATACATGTTTAGGGTTAATTCTAGTGGCAAAACAATTGGCTGCATGCTCTAGTGGTTGTGCAATAGGGTTTAGTTCTGGCAATGCTGAACTTCATATAATCCAGAGGAATGAGTTTGAAAAGGATTGAACCATGAAAGGTAAATTTCAACCTCATATCTGGGATGTGTCCCTGTAGTAGATGGTTAAGCAATCAGTAAATGAAGCATAAATATCAGTGATGAAGTGAGCTCAACGTAGACATATGGTGATGTAGGGCTTTGTAGAGTGCTCTACTGAGACATTAGTTTCACATGGTTCTTTGTGCTACAAGTAATAATCTGTAGAAGATTTATAAAAGATAGTGGCAGAGCAGACCTGATTTTTATAACCTGAAGAGATTTTTGACCATGTACTTTCTGAGGTAGGAGGAAGATCATGTTTTGATTGGAAGATTTGCACCTGAAAAATTCTTGCTTGTTACCGTAGGTGACTGGGGAATAGTGGAAGTGGGTTAATGTTTACTGCAGGCTCTTGCTATAATTGGGCTACAGTTTCATTTGCTGGGGAAGGTGAAGGTTGGCTACAGTTTCATTTGTTAGGAAAGCTGAAGCCTAGCTGTGAGTTCCTTGCTTTTGAGAAGATGCTGGTTGGGATGAAGTTCTCCAGACTTGCCACGGTCAGCCTTTGCTGTGCAACATTGCATTAAGATGCTTTTAGTATGTTTTGGGAATGCTGTTTGGACGGTTGCAGTGTGGGGGTGTCTGTATGCGTGTGTGAGCTGGTATTGCTTTATGTTACTCTACAGAGGCAAGGCAAGCCTAACTGAGTTTCTGGCTTTTTGCTGATAGGAATTTTGAATGTAGCACAACTGATCTTGAACTGTGCTGTGTCTCCAAAAACAGAGCATTAACCTATATTGTTTTCTGTCTGTCAGGCCTGAGGGTATGTTAAGAGACAAGGCTTCCATGTGATTATGGAGGCTGGCAGGAGACAGTAGAAATTCACTAAACAGATAAGAGACACAAATTGCTTTCGGTGTTTTTCCTCATTGATGGGAGCAAATAAAGTAGTTAGTTCTCTTTTTTTTCCTGCCTAACACAGCTGAGCATAATTTCTGTTTCCTTCTTCATGGCCAACTTGGGTTGTGTTCATGTAAGTCTGGTTTTTCTGTGGCTCCCAGGTGTAAAAACAGGTCCTGTCACTGAGCAAACAAGTAAAAACACATTTAGATATTCTTCATCACTACCAGAGTCCTGTCCCATCCTTGGTGCATATCTGGTGCTGTCTTAGATCGTCTGTGCTTTTCGTTTATGCCTTTTTCCTCCCCCCCCCCCCCCCTCCCTCCCCAATGGTACAGAATTGTGTCTCCCCAGGCCTGGTTGGCACAAGTGATTTCAGATCATAGAATCATAGAATGATTTGGGTTGGAAGGGACCTTGAGAGATCATCGAGCCCAACCCCCCCTGCAGAGAGCAGGGATTGAACTTGTGAACTTGGTGTTATTAGCACCATGTTCTAACCAACTGAGCTAACCCGGCTGGTCAATTGATGTACCCTCCCGATTTCTTTCTATCAAAATGTTT